CTTGCCTGCCAACAGAACATTGAAGGTTTGAGTCCACCTGGAGGCACCTCAGAAGGCCTGGTAATCTACTTCAGAAACATTGAAAAACTCAGAAACATTGAAAACTCTGTAGAGCACAGTTCTTCTCTGATACACACGGGGTCACATGAGTCAGAATCAACTCAATGGCAGCTGGCTCTTTATGTCTTGGACTGGCCCTTCCTGAGACTTTTTCTCTGACATTTGTCCTTCAAGAATCCATCATTTAGAAATCTTTCTCCAAGAGCTTCTGTCTGGACTTCCAACCATCCATCCATCCATCCACCCACCCAACAATATTTACTGAGGTTCCACTATGTTCTACAAACTGAGCCTGAGAACAAGACAAGATCCCTGCTCCCATGGAGCTGACATTTTCATTGAGGAAGAGAGACAACAAACAAGCAAATAAATGCATAAACTATGAAAGCTGTGAGGGAGGTAAAATATGGTTGTGAGATGGTAACCAGTGTAGATGGGGTGGTCAGTAAGTGTCCTCTATGAGGTGACATTTGAGCTGAGACTTGTATGAGGAGAAGGAACCAGTGAGGGAAGGAAGGTCAGGCAACCTACTTCCGTAGTGATACCGTCTCGGAAGCCCAAGGAGGGGTTGCTATGAGTTGGATTCGACTCAACGGCAGTGAGTTTTTTTAAAAAAAAAGGAAGGAACCAGTGAGGCAGTGAGAACAGCAAGTGCAAAGGCCCTGAGGTGGAGATGAGCTTGGCATGTGGGACAAACAGAAAGAAAGCTGGCATGACTGGATCATGGAGAATGAAGGAGAGTGGTACCAGCTGATGTTGGAGAAGAAGGCAGGGGCACATCAGGCAGAGAGCCTCATGGCCTGTAATAAGAGGGATTTGATTGTATACTCAATCAATCATAGCCTATGCATCTCAAAAGGAGCATTAATTGCACTGTATTGCAGAAGTGTGTCAATCTATCTTAAGGATAAGATCTTTGAAAGTAGGAGATGTCATATTCATTTCTGGATAGCCAGTGCTATATTGAATAGTTGATATTTGAGGGAAGGAAGGTCCAATAACCTAGCACACCTATTGAAAAAGTAAATAAAAATAAGAAAAGGAAGTCTAGTTTGTTTGGACTTATTCTTAGTGACCCTCTGCTGACCTCTTAGTAATCCCTTGGTTTTTCATTGTTGTAAATTCTCATAAATCAGACTGAGAGCTGACTGACCCTGCTCTGTGGCTTTGATTTTCCCATTCTCAAATTGGGTGCAGCAGAAAACCCACCCATATCTTTGTTCACCCACCATTAGTTAAAGAGAACATTTCCTTAACTATGTGGTGGGCATTTCCAAGCATAGAACAAAAAGAAACAGAGGGTGCCATTCCCTAGCTCTTATACTGACATGGCTTTCAATAGCCCCCATCACAGTCTGCAGACACAGTGAAAGGCAGAAGGGAAGGAGAGGGGAAGACAGTAAGGATGGGCTGCCAACCTCAGGTCCTGTTTTTTGGGGTATAGATAAAACTACACAGGGAATGTCAGATCAACATGCTCACTACTCTGAGCTGGAAATCGGTGGTCTCTGGGTGGACAGAGGACTCAGTGGCCCAGCATCTTAAGGTACTCCAAGTGTTTTCAAGCCACTTGAGTAGGTTGGGCCCCAGGAGTTTTATTTTCGTTCTTTCTTTTTTGAGGGTGGGGTGCAATCAGCATTCACACAATCCCTAAACTATAGGCTTCCCAAAAGCATCCAGACTGCCCTCTGGATGGTCCCCCTTGTTCAGGGCTGTCTCTTTCATGGGCACCAAGGGGCCATTTAAGCCACAAATTTCCTCTGTGGTGTCACCATGTCAGTTTGTCATCTCTGCTGTCCCTGCTTAAAGATCACTTCCTCAGGAAAGCATTCCTTGATCACTGCCAAACCAAAACCAAACCCACTACTACCATTGAGTTAATTCTGCCACATAACCCCATGTGTTACAGAGTAGAACTGCTCCGTAGATTTTTCTTGATGGAAATCTTTACACAATCGGATTGCCAAGGCTTTCTTCTGTGGCACCCTCAGGTGGGTTCAAACCTCCAACTTTAAGGTTAGTAGCCAGAGGCAAGCTATTTGCATCCCCAGGGACCTTTGATCATCCCTAACCCCCCATGAAAAACAAAAACAAAAAACCCTAGGTTAGGCATCCCCACAATATGCTCTCATACAGCCCACAATTCTCTGTCATAGCACTTACGACCATTAGAGTCAATCACTTGTGTAACTGATTTGTCTTTAAGCTCCATCCACTGCTGAATGGATACGTGATAGATGGATACACAAGCCAAATGCCCATAACCCATATGGAGCCATTGTTTGGGGCTGTGCTAAGCCTTTTGTGTCATTCTAGCTCCACTCTAACTTGGGAAGGAACAGGTTGCTTTGCCCCTAATTCTAGTTTCTAAAATCGAGGTCCCTAGTTACTTGCCTCTGGACTAACCACTGGACTCTGGTGAATAATATGGATCCTGGCACTCACCTCCCAAAGATTCTGATTTAGTGGATCTGAGTCTGGTGATCAATCAGGTTTGTAAAGACACCGCTCTGCAGGACAGACTGATGAGAAGGAAGGCTAAGAAGCTGAGCTTGGGACATTAAAGTCGCACATAAATAAAAGTGTGAATGCAGAATCCACAAGGAGACTGGATTTTGTCGTTTTGTTTTCACAAATACGTGAAATGTGCCACTCAGAAGGAATGCAAATTATAATTATAACAGATGCCATTTTTCTCTTGACAAATTAGCAAAGATTAAGTTGGATAATATATTGTGTTGGTAAAAGTTTGGGGAAATAGCTTCTCAAACATATTGTTGGTGAGGCTGTAAACTGCTACAACCTCACTGCAGGGCAATTTGGAAATACATATGATTGACACACTCAACACAGTAACCAGACAAATATATATCACATGGCACCATTGCTTTTAGTAGCAAAAGCCTAAAAATGACCTAAGGTCCCTCAATAACTTGTCCACACAATAGAATGTTATGGGACCTGTGGTAGTAAAGGTTGTGTGTCAACTTGGCTGGGCCTGGTTGAGTAGCTGGGCAGCTGGATGTAGTTATTCCCCATGGTGAGACTGGTAATCAACTCCATGGTGGAATCCACCGGAGTAGCTGAGTAGCTGCCTTAGTGATGTGGTCTGCTTCCTGTATAAGAAGACACTTTGAGAAAGGTCTCTGAGCTTTTTGGGATGCTTAGACTCTGCATGTACCCGAGTCTTCATTCAACAGCCAGCCATATTTCCTGCCAATCTTGGGACTGTTTCTGGACTTGAACTAGTGGCCTGCCATATTGTTTGATAATCTTGGGACTGTGCCATTTTACTTGTCAACCTTTGGTTTGTCAACCTCAGCAGCCAGCAGCTGCCTGAGTCAAGAGATGGCTTCAGCTCCAGTGGGCCAGAAACAAGAGGCAGAGCTAAAGCCCAAGGTCAAGGAGCCTTTACCCAGCCCCTAGAGCTGGCACTTTGAACTCAAGACTTTTACCCTCCAAAACTGTAAGAGAATAAATCCCTGTTTGTTAAACCACACACTTGCAATATATCTGTTACAGCAGCACTGGCTGACCAAAATAAGGTCTTTAAGAAGAATGAGGGTGATCTATAGCTATGGTATCACTTCCAAGCTATAGTGTAAGCAAAAAATGGCCCTAAAAAAAAGCTCACTGTCATTGACTCAATTCAACTCATAGCGACTCCTCCTTGAGTTTCCAAAGTGGTAACTCTACAGAAGTAGATTGCCCAATCTTCCTTCCGAGGAGTGGCTGGTAGATTTGAACTGTCAGCCTTCTGGTTAGCAGTCAAGAGCCTTAGGCATTATTCAAAGAAGAAATGCTTATTCCTGTACACATGCATGTGAAAAAGACTGAAAAATCCCTGTCTAAGTACAGAGGCAACAGTGATGGTCTCTGTGCAGAGGAAGGAGGGGCCTGGAGGGCGGGGAGAGAAAGAAGATATACTCAGCATCATGTACTCGTTGGTGTGGCTTGGGTTTTTCACTGAATGAATGTATCCCATTAATAACTTCTTAATAGTAGAAGAATACAGAGAGAGAGTGAAAGGGAAAGAGAAAGGCTGGTAAGTAGAAGGGAAAACCACACAGGCCAGGAGGAGAGTGCTTCCCATCCTGTCCTTGGTTGGGCTTGCTTTAGGTGTGGCTGACTCAGGAGTTGGAATCTGCAGCCCAGATGTGCTTCTGCTGGCAGGTCTGAGTGCTCTCAGCACCCAGTGAGGTCAGAGAAGGTCAAAAACTTGGAGGACGAAGGTATTCTTGGTAAATGAGGTGAAATTGATGTGAGTGTGTTAGGCAAATAGACCTTGGGTGGCCCAGTGACTTTCTCTTAGCTTTTAAATAGTTTTTACATAACCCATAACCAAAAACCCAAACCAAACCAGTTACTGTTGTGCCAACTCCTGCCAATCCCATGTGTTCAGAACTGCACTCCATAGAGTTTTTCAATGGCTGTGTTCCAATAGTGTATGTAAAATATACATTTAGCGCCTGATGCCTGGCTTCCAGCATGTTGGTATTGTTGTTATGTGCTGTCAAGTTGACCATGACTCATAGCGACCCCTCCTTGGGTTGCCACAGCAGTATCACTACGGAAGTAGATTGTCCAACCTTCCTTCTGAGGAGTGGCTGGTGGGTTTGAACCACCGGCCTTCTGGTTAGCAGTCAAGTGTCTTAGGCACTATGCTTCCAGCATAGTTTCCATAAGTGCTGGTGTGATTCTTTGGAACAAGAGAGTTTTCTTAAATTCTTTCCCAAAATGGCATCTTGTCCTTGTTCGTCCACACAGAAGACACAAGGACAGCTTTTAGTGTAACTGTTGGGATAACCTTTTGGGTAGCCATTGGAAAATACAGGATCATGCTCCCTTTCAAATAACCTCCTTTGTCATAAGCTGCATGTCATTGGTTATCCTTGAAACAAAAGCTGTCCTCCTCACTAAGCAGGTCAGAAATCTCTTACCAGGTGCATTCCGATGGAGGTGGCCATCGCTGTCTCAATCTCTGTCCCCACGTCCTCAATGAAGGGGTATTCTTCCTGCTGATGGACAATCACCTTGGCCCCCGTGGAGGATACCAAAAAGGGATTATATTCCTCTTCATTTATGTACAAGATGACTTGCAGTCCTGGGAGAATAAGGCAGCATGATGAAATCAAAGGCTAGGGATCTATTCCCTTGGAGTAGCCTACTTTTCTCGCTTCCTTGGCAGTCTCAAATCCAGAACCCAGGCGTTTCCAACAAGTGAGAGGAAGACAGGGGCTAGAAGGGAAGCTTCGTGAGGGTAAGAGTTGTGCTTGACCTGCTCACTGATGTATCTTTGGGGCTCAAAGACAGTATCACTACCACAGTTTTTTCCAAGCATAAGTCAGGGAACTGCTATCTTGCCTGAGACTGCTTTTTCCTGTGTTCCTTTGAGTTGAGAATTTCTACTGAACATCCAAAAGGAAGGTGCAGTACTATGGCTGCTTAAACCTTTAGAGAGAGTGCCCAGGGAAGAAATAAATCACTAATGGTATATCTCATCACTGGCCTAATTTCTCTCCCTGCTCCCACATTTGTCCCCTGAAGTCTATTCTGCACTCAGAAGCCAGAAGGATCATTTAAAAATGGAAATCAGATCACGTCATTCCTTTGCTTGAGACCCTTCAATGATATCCCATTAGATACATGGGAAAGTCCATGAACCTGCCTGCTGCTCTCCAGGCCATAGTGATGCAGCCCCTGCCCACCTCCTCCTCCTCATCTCCTCCCACTCTCCCTCTCCCTCAATAAGCTCCAAGCACACAGGTCTTCTTTCTGTTTCTAAAGTACATCAAACTCATTTACTTCTCAGGGACTTTGCACTTGCTAGTCCCCGGAATGCTCTTCCACAGGATCTTAACCAGGGCTTTGAACTGGTTCAAACTGATTCAATTATGGCCTGAAGTGAAACCAAGATGGACTAGAATTTGCAAAATGTGAGTGCCTGGAATGATTACAAGAATGGGGAAAATTAAAATTCAAAGTCCTGGAATGGGAGACTTGGAAGAGGCATAGTGAGCCCCTTCAGGAGCCCAATGCAGGAGGCTGGGTTATTGCCAGCACTGTGGAGAGTGACACACATTCAAAGTGATAAGGTCAGCCACCATCTTTGAGCAGGGCACTGTTATTTCCCACTCTGCTGGTCAAGAGATTTGGTTGCTACGCAACACACACGCTGTCCCTATTTTCTAAGAAGGAGACTAAGTTTCTAGCAGGATGTTGGCCCATAATTTTCCCCATTCCAGCTATCATTCCAGGCACCCACATTTTTACAAATTCTGGCCCATCCTGGTTT